GAATCATTTTCCAACAGTTTTTAAAATTCCAGTGAATAGTATGCATGTTCACAGTGGTAATAAAAGCAAAAGGCACTTTTAATAAAATACAGTATTTTGGTTAAATCATTTTATAACAGTTTTTAAATTCCAGTGAATAGTATGCATGTTCACAGTGGTAATAAAAGCAAAAGGCACTTTTAATAAAATACAGTATTTTGGTTATTTTAACACTGAAGTTTAGGCCTTGCTACATGGTCCCTTACAGTGTGTGTTAACCTACCTCTGTGTGGATGACTTCAGTATTAATTTACAATTAATTTTGCTTTCTTGACTGAATAGAAATGTAGTGCACAGTTCACAGCAGTCACAGCTTCACTTAGTCTTTGTTTAAACTAGCATAAAAATGTACTTCAAACTATATTAGAAGTTGTGGATTAAATGCATTTATAAAACATCCATCCATTCATACTTATTTGCTAGTCTGGTAATGCATTGCAGTGGCATCAGTAAAGGTGTTTTAACTAAAACCTCTGTTTTAAATTTACTCACCTTGTCCAGATATCTACTTGAATAAAAGTTCATGAACAAAAACTATTTGAATTCAATTCAATTCAATTCAAAAATGCTTTTTTGATCCCAGAGGGAAATTAGGTGTTGTTGTAACTCATTTAACTAAAGANTGTTTGGTTGAAAAAAATATTTTTGATTGAAATTATTTTTTTGATTGAAGATGCTTTTTGTTTGATTGAATAATAAAAACACAAATTTACCTCCAGAGAAGTAACCAGTCATTAGTTCATTGTGGATCAATAATTCCTGAAAGTCACAGGGAAAGTTAAAAAATAGTAGTTTTCAGCATTCTGTCCGCTCAGACAGACTGACGGTGCTGCTCTGTTTGGAACTATTGAGAGCTCCATGAACAACGTGACCGTGTGTCGGCTGGTTCAAAGAAGGCTTTTATACACTGCAGGGCTGGCCTGCCCAGCCCTGGATGTTTTGCACTGTCATCAGAGCTGCCTCAAAGTGGGTGGAAACTGTTTACCGAGGAAGCGTGCAAAACGGTCCTTAAACGTCGTGTGAGACGATGAATGGTGATGCGCAGAAGAGCGGAGAGTTTTTGAAGGCTGTACTTGGCCATACAACAGCAAGAAAAAGCAGCTATAGCGAGACGCGATGGCATCGACGAGTAAGCTAGCAATATTAGCTTGTTACATGCTACCGTTATGAAAGCAGTTGCTTTTTCATAGATCTATATGTTTTTTAATGACTGGCCAGACTCTAGACTGGCATCTAGTTAAAGAAATAAAAGAAAAAGCTATTAGCATTTGTCAGATAAATAATTCTGGCTTATACACTACCAGTAAAAATGTTTGGACACACTTTCTCATTAAATGTTATATTTTTGTTTGCTTTCAACTTTAAAACATAACGCTGAAGTCATTCAAACTTTGGAGGAACACATACTGGAATCATGTAGAGATCTAAACATTGTTAGATGAACCAAAGTATAATTTAAATTTATTTAGATAATTCAAAGTAGGAACATTTTGCTTTCCTTACAGTTGTGCACACCTGGCAAACTGATTCCATTTCATGATGTTCTGTAACCATCTGGAATCATTTTATAACAGTTTTTAAATTCCAGTGAATAGTATGCATGTTCA